TAACAGACCATAATGGTTAACATTTGTCGAGTTCTTACTAACTGGGGGCACCTCTTCTCCTCTCTCCCATGCTTGCCTGTTGCTTTGTTCTTAACACTTTATCTGTAGGATTTCAGTCAGTATGCAAATGTAGAAACTGAGGGTTGGTGTGTTTAACAAATTGTAATACTGAAGCAAACACAGAGTAGTAAATCCCCATATGAAAGCTTGTCCTGACTGCTGTCTTGAGAGATATTCGGAAGGAACGCTGCAGACCAGCTGTGTTCCGGCATGAGGTGCCCATCCGACCTGAGCACCTCTCTCCTCCTGTACCTGCTTTCCTCATGTTTTCATGAGAAGCTTAACCTTGACTGACTGACTGAAACAGAGGCAGGGATGAGGGGGTCACACCTCTGGTTGTGTTCCTGAGACCAGAGAATACTGAGGAAGCAGGCAAGACTAACCCTGAACGTGGGGAAGAAAGGCAGCTAGTTCCGCATTTCCTCTGCTTTCTGAAGTCATGATGTGATTACTCTGCTCTATCTTGCTTGTCAGCCATGATGGCCGGAATCCTCTGGAATATGAGTCAAGATAAATCATCCCTCCCTCAGGTTATTTAGTTTAAGTCCAGTGTTTTTTTTCAGGACAAGAGTCTTCTGATACCTGGCTCCACTCAACAAATATTACATCTGCATCAATTATATCATATTGCATATTGAATTCGAAGGGTGGTTTATGCCAGCCATGAACACAAAATGTACTGCCTCAAATAGGCTGAGCGAAGATGGAATTAGAGTAGTTTTATCTTTTAATGAGAAGCTGGTGAGGCCCTGGAGTAAGGGCAAAATGCTGTCGCCCAAAGCATCCAGCCCTTAGGTCCTTGCCAGCTCTGTTGTGTTGACCTGAACTTCATCTGAGCTGCTCACGAGTCATACTCAGACTCTTTGGCCACAAGGCACATTATGTAAGAACAACACAGGCTGTCTAGGTCAGTGGCTTGAAGCAGTGCTCCACAGTCAATTAATTTTTACAATGTTTTATGAGGCAAAGAGGCAGAATAACAACATGCAAAAGAGCCTGTCTGGGGACTGTCCTTAAGGATACACCTTCAGTTCTTGAGGCGCTCTTAGTCCTAAGCTTTCTCTATTAATTATTACCCAGGAACTGTAAGAAAGAGATGGAGATGTTTCTTGAAGACACTTATTAGGTTGAAATGGGAAATGGGGAGAGAGATCCAGACTGTCACATGTCCATAACAATCTCCACTGTAACTGACCCCTGACCCTTGGAAATTCTGGAGACTCTTTCAATCTTTGTATGGTAACTGAAATATTCTCCTTTCATTAGCACCATTTTTGAGAGCTTTCAAGGCTAGGGAGAGGCTTCAACCTCTGTAGCTCTTCCAAAGGACTTGAGTTCAGTTTCCAGGCTACTTGTAATCATGGCTGCTGGGGATCTGATGCCCTCTTTTGGCATTCTAGAGTACCCCTCACATGCATGTAGTACACATACACACACACACACACACACACACACACACACACACACATACACACACACGCACGCATGCACACAAACAATTATTTTTTTCTTTACAACAACCTTCAACCTGTTATTACCAAGCATTTACTAGGAAAGAAGCTAATGTTTAGAGAGTTTGTGTGTTAATTGCTCAAACTCATACATTAGTAAGTGATGGAGCTTTCTGCACCTTCTGCCTCAACTCTCAAATCTTTCATTGCCTCCCAGTTTGTAATCCCACAAGTGCTCAGCTGCAATGGTGGAGGACTCTGACTTTGTTTTTAGGGGTCTTGTACAAGGTTGTCCTATTTACAACTTCTCCCACACAAATGCATACACTAGTTTCTACTAAGGACTTCTGAATACAAGGGGATAAATCCAATACTGATACCACAGGAAGCCTTGTTATTTAACAGAAGATGCATAATCCAAGTTATTTCTCTATATTACTACATATGCATGCCTTCCTAAAAACACTAACGAATGTAAAATGCCAATAACTACTGAATTATATACACTCAAAGTGAATAGATTATATGATAGGTGAGATATATCTATTTTTGGAAAGTCAAATTAACAAAAATTCTTGCTCAGATGATTCTTAGTCCCAATGTTTATGAAAATCATAAACTGTTGACTGATTGATTGATCTTGGGTTACTTTTTGATGATAGAATCTCAAAATTACTGCTTTTGTACTGAGTATGAAATTATGAACCTATAATTAATAAGCTTCTGATCAAAGCTAAATAAATTTTGTTGTAGCATTTATAATTTAACTGTTTCAAAGATATCAAAATCTCAAGTTTTATATTTTTGGATATATTATATTTACTTGTCTAAAACTGGTAATTATTTTTGGTTTTATTGAGACAGGGTCTCACGACCCAGCTCTGTCTGTCCTGGAACTCACTATGTAGACCAGGCTGATCTTGAACTCACAAAAATATATCTGCTTCTGCCTCCCAAGTGCTGGGATTAAAGGCATGGGTCACTACACCTGGAATTGTACTTCTTTTTAAATAAAGATAATTGTTCTAATTTTCTTTGTGCTGCTGTTGTAAAACACTGACAAAAAGCATCTTATGGGAGGAAATGATTTATTTGGCTTCTACTTGCACATAACAGTCCATCACTGAGGGAAGTCATGGCAGGGTCTTGAAGGCAGAAACTGTGGAGGAATAATGCCTGCTGACTCATTCACAGACTCATACCCAGCTAGTTTTCTAAGCTAGCCCAGAAACACTGGCTATATAAAAATGTGTCTCCCACAGTGGACTAGGTCCTTCTACTTCAATTTGTGATTGAGACAATCCTCCACAGATATGCCCACAGGTCAATCTGATGTAGGTAATTCCCCATCAGAGGCTTCCTCTCAGCTGACTGTAGGGTTTGCCAAGTTGATAAATGAAGGGTATGTAAATGGTTAATAACCAAACATATATCAGTATGTCTCTATACTAGCAAACATGGGGACACACTGGTCGTATCCCCTTGAAATGGATTCTAAATCATCAATTCCTACAGAGTCTGGTGGGGGAGCCACTTTGTCCCACTTCTTGATCCTTTGAGCCAATGTGATCCTCTGGTTGTACAGGTGAGGACAGGTAAACAAAATTATGAACATTCCCCCAAGACCATAGATGGGCATGTCCTTCATGGCTCCATCTATTGCTCCATTGAATTAAGCTGGTTTTAGGTAGTTATTGTAATCTCCATGGTTTATTATAGACCATAAAAATATATTACTGTGTTAGAGAAAGTCTTATCTGAGAGTGTAACACTGGAAGCATCTTGCATGGCTGTATGAGAAGACAAGTAGGCTGAAAAGCCCAGTCATGAGGACAGTCACAGTGGAGAATGAGTTTTGGTCATGAAGGAATCAGTGCTGACTTTACTCGATTAGCTTAGGTCACTAGATGAATGCTGTGCCAAGAGCTACAGGAAGGATGGATGGAGAAAGAACAAGTTTGGACAGAGGGGTCTGAGAATTCTACTGTGGACTTTAAAATAGATGTCCAAGGGAGGGCTGAAGAGTGCAAGGAATAGACCATGGAAGCAGAGGCTGCCTGGGGAGTCTTAGGTGCTTGGTACACTGCTGGCTGCTGTCTTATTCTTGTGAATGCTTTCAGATCACAGAGAGTTGCAAAGTGTTTAACTGGGGGAAGGAGAGATGAGAGAACCAGACGGGTCAGTCACATGTTAGCAAAGAAAGACCTCATTCATCCGCACCTGTGAACAGTGCTAGGATAATTTTAAAGATTAGATTAAGCTCTCTGGTTGTAGATGGCAGATCTTGATTTATCAGAAAACCAAATTATAAACCATGATGTATCTCATTTGTTTATCTAGAGTATTCATTTTGATGGCATCACATTATGCTTTACCAAAGCTGAAAAGCAGAGGTTCCAGGAGCATGGACTCTGAGCTGGTCCTACTGCATCAGCCAGTCTTAGAAAATGGTTAAATACGTTTCTAAGTTGTACATCTGAATAAGATAATCTCTTGGCATTCCTCTTAGCATAGTCAAGTCTCTTGTATGGCCCTCTGGGCCCTGTAACTCTCCCCCATCAGTCTCTAAACTTACCTCTTGCTAGGCACTGACTTTTCTTTTCTCAAATCTATCTCCGTTGACTTCATTTCTCTTTTGTCCTTTACCTCAAGGTTTTTTGTTCCTATTTCTTATGCAGGTCTTTGCGAAAGAAATGTTCTTTACTGACAGCTCCTTGAAAGCTGTGGTGTCTCTAACTCAAGTCTGCTTTAGGAGACTCATTCCCAGATCTCCATTGCTATTGTTCTGTCCTTGCCATATGGTAATCGTCTGCCTACAGCAGTGCTTGTAACTCTGCTTCGTAGTCTTGCTCAAGAAAGGGCCGCAGCTATTACCCTTTTGTCCCGCCTCACACGGAATGTCCTCACACTCGGTGTCCCCTGGCTCACTGTACACTTGCTGACTATATCTCAAGAAGGTTTCTACTAGGTTTTATGTTCAAGCACGGCTGCTTGGTTGATGGTTCCATCACAACCTTTATGTGTAGAAGGATGCTCAAACAACCTGTATAGACGTAGTTAACCTAAGGTTGTTTCCTCTGACTCCCCGCTGTTTGATTTGTGCTTGCTGAGGTAGAGCTCTTGGTGAAAATCTTCCTATTGACTCTGTGTTAGTGCTGGCCATCCTTTAACCACATCTGTCTGGAGGTGCTGTTTCCAAGTCTATGGAGACAAATAGCAGGGACAGTACTGTTCTCCCATCCTCAGGTGTGACTCACTTTAGGGAAAATTTTCCACAGAACATCTCTGTCCCTGCACATCTCTTCAGGTAGAAAACATACTAGAACATTGCAACTTGGGCTTTTTCAACTGGTGAAAAAAAATGTGTTCTTTAGAACTTTTAAATATTTTGCGACCTTTATCTTCTACCATTTCGTAATATGCTTTAAAATTAAGCTAAATATAGTAGTCTATATTTTACTTTACACTTCTTCTAGGCAATGGACTTACCCTCTAGAGCATATTTCATGTCGAGAGCAAAGAGAGACCACATGATTTCTGCACTTATCTTTCCCATGTTGAGTTCTTGAGGAAACCTAAAACAGAAGACACCATTTTAGTGTATCAAAAGCAGTAACATCCCTGACACAGCTCATACACACACGTATATTTTCATTATGCAATTTCTTTCTGCTGACTTTAAGAAGCGTGGGGTGGGGTTGTATAAGTGGCAAAGAAAAGAGTGGTCAAATAGACGTTACTATATTGGCACCAAAGAGGCAGAGCCCAGGGATTCCCTGGGATGTCTATGTGATGTGGATAATTATATATATTTTGTTTTCATTGTTTAAATTTGAACTTAAGTAAGAGAATATCAGGTCATAGTATCTGAACAAAAAGGACAAAAATAAAACTAAAAATTAATATCTCTCATATACATCACTTCATGCAACCCCAATAAAAAGCTGAATTCAATGGTTTTTAAAGATTTATTTTTGCTTTCAATTATGTATCTGTGTGTATCTATGTGTGTGAGTGTACATGTGTGTGCAGGTCCCACAGAGGCCAGAAGAGGGTGCTAACGTCCCTGGAGCTGGAGTTACAACAGTTGTGAGCTGCCCAATGAGGATGCTGGGAATCAAAGTCTGGTCTTCTGCAAGAGCAGCAAGAGCTTCCAATCACAGAACATCTCTCCAGCACCCAGCATAGCCAACTTTACAATACACACAAGACAAAAGATTGCCATCAACAAGGTTTATTGTGAAAGTGCAAGGTTAGTTCAACATTCATTCCCAAACTGAACAATTCAATTTGCCAACCAATGGACTGAAAGGAAAAAAATAGATGGTTATTGCACCGAATGTAAGAAGCATATGGCAAACTCCAACATCCATCCATGTATAGTAAACATTTTCTGAAAACTAAAATTGAAGTGAATTTTATCACCATGTTCCTGGGCATGGTGATACAATTCTATAATCTCAGCACTTGAGCACAGAGACAGAAGGAATGTGAGTTGGAGACTAGCCTGAGCTAAAATCAAGTTCAAGGCAAATCTGATCTAAAGAGAAAGATGGTGTCTCAAGAAACCAAACAACAAAACCTGTGGACCTCATGCTTAATGGTCACACAGTAAGGTCATAATCTGAGCAATGACATTATTCTCAGTTTTTCTGGTAAGTATCACTGAAGTTCTGAAATTCTGCAAAAGAAGCAGGAGAAAGAAGAGGCATAAAGACTGGAAGGGAGGAGAGAAGGCTGTATTTGTAAATACCATGACACCCTGCATAAGGAATGCTCCAGGTGCTACCAACAAGCCATTTGGCCACTTGGCATGAGCCATAAAGTGCTGCAAATCCAGAGCAGCCTGGGCTAATACAGTAAGACTCTGTCTTAAAACTAAGAACAAACAACAACATCCCTAAGAAAATAAAAATAAAATTTCTACATCGGAAGTGCTTAGCCTATCACTATAAAAAGCCACTATAAAAAAAGACCACATTATAAAATCATGAATTTGTATACACTAACAACAAGCCATTGGCAATCTAAATTAGAATATCATCTACAATAGCAACAACAGTGTTAAGCATCTAGGTATAAATCTAGGAGTCTGTATATAACATCCATGCAATGTAAACTGCACAATATTGAGGTTAGAAATCAACAGAAGAGGAGAAGGCCCTGTGGAGCTAGGGGCAAAGAGTCTGAGCAGAGCGAACCAGGTTTTCTCAGAGTTTTTTTTCACCTTGTTTTCTACTCCTATGAGGACACGATGTGTAGAAACACAATGACAATTAAGATTGTCATTGCAGCCACAAACGTAAATTAGAGCTTAGAATGCAGAGCACCCTGGTTATGACCATTCATAGTTTACGATACAAAGCAGCCTGGCTATGTCCATTCATAGTTTAGGACACAGAGCATCCTGGTTATGATCATTCACAGTTTAGGATGCAGAGCACCCTGGTCTGGCCATTTGTAGTTTAGGATGCAGAGCACCCTGGTCTGGCCATTTGTAGTTTAGATGGAGGGAGGATGAGCTATCTGTGCTAAGGAAGAAACTATGCATAGCAGCTGCAGTGTTCACAGAACAGACTCCCCAAATGACTTCAAAAAATATTGTCTTTAATCTAGAAGTTTGAATCAGAAAACTTCAAAAAGAGAATCTAGAAATCAACTGTGACTTCTCAGGGTTTTCACAGTGGTATGCAAACTGGCAAGGCTTAGTTCCAATCTTTTTAAAAAAACGGCTTAAGGGAGCTGACGGACACTGTTGAATCTGCAGCCTGGCAAATGCAGTGTAAATGGAACTGCCATTTAAAATAGAGCTACACTGGATAAACACACACACTACATAACAAGTAAGCTGGTAATATCAGTATGAAAAGACACGGTCTGAGTCAGATGGTTCAGTTACTTAGAGAGCAAGTAATTTAAAAAGAAAAAACAAAAAACCCCAACCCAAACCAACCAACCAACCAAAAACAACCAAGGCTGGAGAGAAGGCAGGCAAACAAACAAACAAACAAAACAAGGGTGGGGAGAAGGCTCAGTAGTTAAGAATGAGCACTGCTCTTAAGGAGGACCAGAGTTCAAGCTCCCAGAACTTGCATCAGGTGGCTCATAACCAGCTATAACTCCAGCTCCAGGGAATGTAACACCCTCTTCAGGCTTCTGTGGGTACTGTACGCACATGTGCATCCCCGCCATAATTACAGATAAAATATACTTTGGTGTGGGACAATTGTATTCTGTCAATTATGTTTTAAATAAACACTGATTGGCCAGTAGCCAGGCAAGAAGTAGAGGCAGGGCAATGAGAACAGGAGAATTCTGGGAAGAAGGAAGCTTACTCCTGAGTCCTGTCCAGACACCGAAGAAGCAGGATGTGACCTGCCCCACTGAAAAAGGTATTGAGCCATGTGGCTAACATAGATAAGAATAATGGGTTAATACAAGTTATAAGAGTTAATAAGAAGCCTAAGCTAATGGGACAATCAGTTTATCATCAATATAGAACTCTGTGTGATTTTCTTTGGAACTTGATTGCAGGAACCTGGCGAGACAGAAACCCCAACAAGCAGGCCACCATGTTACAATACTTAAAGAAAAAAAAATCACAAAAATCTAACAATATGGGAAAAGAAGTATAACATACTCTATCAACATTTCAAGACATTTAAATTAAAATGATGCTGAATTACATTGTTTCAGACTACAAGCTATAACAATTTGTTAGCACGTGTCATAGCTGCTTCCTGTTACTCTCAAGGCCTTTGCTTCTTACACAGGGCAGACACCTGAGCTTCCACACTGCACCCTTCTTTGTTCTGCACCCTGGACTCCTGCCTTCTGGCTCCATCACCCTCACATTACATGACACAGTGGAATAATAAACAGCTATCAAGGAGGGAAGACAGAACCGTTGGTGGTAATGTTTTAAATGGGTAATTCCACAGTTTCTTCCTGACATGGGCTTGAAGTTTCTACCTCTGTTTTATGGTATTACCTTTAGGTTCCTACTGAGAATAACATCTCTCAATTTTTGTCTAGAATTACAAAAACATTTCTTTTGGATTTGGAACATGCTACACCCAAATATGACAACTTGCTATATCAAATATTTTTTTCCAAATGTGTGTGTGCCTGCATGCATACACAGTGTGTGCATGCTCTGTGTGTGAGAGTTGTTGAGGCCAAAAAGGGTGCCAAATCCCCTGGATCCAGAGCTCCAGGCACTTGTGAACCATCAGGAATGGGTGCTGGCTGAGAATGGAACCTGGGTTCTCTAGAAGAGTGGTGAGTGCTGAGCTATCATCTCTTCCTTCCTTGCATTGAATATTTTAAGAGAAAGCAGTTTGGGAAATGTCATCACATAAGAAGGACTTCCTCTGCTCTGGGAATCGGCTGAAAGACTCTCGTGTGACAGGTGAGAGGGGCCATCCCTATACTCAGAGAGAAGGGGCATTTATTTCTCGGGAGACACATAAGCCAAGAAGAAGACTTGCTGTCTCTCTCAGGCAACTACGCTCTCACGTTCCTGCTACTGCTCAATGACATTCCTCCATGACTCTGCTCGCCTCTACCCCGGAGATATCCAGGTCTAACCACTGCACTGTCCTTCACAGCGAATTCTTCCATGTACTATAGCAAATTCTATAACTACATTTATATAGTTTACTCTTCTCAACCTGTTCTCTTGCAGAGACCCCAGAGGAGAACTCAGAAAAGCATAAGAAAGCGACACATCCTTCCGGTGCTTCTCTCTCCCTGACATTAGCATCTCTCTACCACAAAGTATCACCATGACCATACATAGGAATTTCCTGGAACAAACCTTAAGAGCCAAAGTATACGTAGCCTGTGATTAATGCAAGCTTATAGTTTCCAAAAGTAATTTTGCTGCTTTTTCCTATCTTGGGAAGAAAAGGAAGAAAAATACGTAATTATAAACAAAATAAGACAGATGGAAAATGTAAGCCATTCTTTCTGAGAAGAGCCAGTCCGCTTCTCTCACAGGTTTTGCCAATGGCTCTGTTCTCTTGGAAAAAATTTTTAAGTTTCGATTTTAGTACTAAATATTTGTTTTTATTATTTTATATGTTTGTTGTCTCTGTGTGAATAGGTACCCATGAGTGCAGTGCCCCATAGGGTCAGAAGAGGGCATTAAGTTGCCTAGAGCTGGAGTTGCAGATAGTTTTGAACCTCCAGATGAGGATGTTGGGAACCTAACTTAGGTTCTTTAGATGAGCAGCAGGTACTCTTAACCACTGAGCCATCTCTCCAGCCTCAGTCTCAAACTCTTCAGAGGTCAGAAAACAATCACAAGCCCACAATGCTTCTTTTTGTTTGTTTCCTTTATAGACTTGGAGAATATCTTGCTTTGGCTTCAAATTTTATAGTGTTGAATTTACCCTGCATTTACAGAACTGAGGAATGATATTTAAAGGCAGAATTTTTTCTTCCAATACGCTCTGCGGTTGATTATTTCTGTCTTTATTGGAATAGTGATGGGATCTAGACATTTCCAGTTTAACACATTTCTGGCTTATTTTCTTTATCAAATAATAGCCGTCAAATCCTGTGGCTAATCTCAGCATGACCCAAAAGAAGAGATTTGAGTTTTCCTCCGAAGCTTAACTAATTTATCCAGTAGAGTAATGACTGGTCTCTTTAAGTCCATTGCCTCATCTGCCAAATGGGGTTGATAACAACTATGTAACATGTGAGCTTCTCGAGGGCCATTGTGAGGGTTAAATGAGATTTTATACCAATGTTTTGCAGACTCACTCGTTCATCATGAGCAGTCAACAAGCATTTGCTGCTGTTGGGAGTAAAATCCTAGCCAGAATGAGACATAAAGAAAAATATTATTATCTATTGGTTCTTAATGAGAAAAATAATTATTGCAGAAAGTAAATTGAAGTTATTTTTATATTCGCTTTGTTGTCTTCAAGAAAAATAAGATGATGATAATAAAATTAATAGCAATAAAGTGAATTGTAGAGGAAATTTTTTTTGTACTCAGGAGTCAAAAGATTTTAAGACTTCTGAACTCTCAGATGGCATACCAACCATTCATATGCTAATTAGAAACAGTCCCCAAACCGTAACAGAAACAGGACTGGAGGAAAGTGTTGGCATTAATAGTGGCTCGAATCAAGCTATTATCACCTTGGAGGAGAGTTTCAGTGAGGGACCATCTACATTGGGTTAGTCTGTTGGCAGGTCTATGAATGACTATTTTAACTGATATGGAAAGACCTAGTCTGGAATGGGAAGTGTCATTTCCTGGATTAGGCTTCCTGAGCTGTTTAATAACAGCAGAGAAATCAAGTTGAGCACCAATGAGCAAGTCAGTGAATAGACACACTTTAATTTCTCTCTGCTCTTGGCTGGGGATGGTGTGACCAACCTTTGAAGTTCAGTCACTCTCAAGGACTAGAACCTGAAATTGTAAGGGAAAATACATCCCTTTCTTCACTCAGCTGCTTACTTCCAGGGCATCTTATCAAAGCCACTGAAATGAAACCAGAACACTAACCTTACTATGTAGAAGCTATTATGCATATATTCAAAACTTAAATCTAAACTTACATGGTACAATATATATATATATATATATATATATATATATGTATATGTATATTACATATTTAAGTGTCTCTTCTTAGCTTAACCTGAAGATTAAATTCTCTCATGTTAAGGACACTACTGCATTTTCAGTGAAGCATTTTCAGTTTAACTTAATTGATAATTTATAATAGGGCTGTTTAATGAAGGAAGCAATTCATTCCTCCATTACAGTCTGCCTCCTCTTTTTAATTTGTAGCAATTAATACAGAGCATAAATGTTTTAAACCTCGAGTCTTTTGAGACATATCAATTTAACAAACCAATTTATTATTTCAAAAGTATCTTAGTCGAATCAGGAAAACATAATCTGGCAAATTTGATAATTTGGATTCATTAGTCATAGCAGACAAAATTAGAACCCATTAAGTTTGGAGTTCTGCTGTGAGGTGCAAAGCACATCTGAAGAAAACTGTGTTCTTTAAGGAGGAGTAGGCCACACTCTGTACAACTGGCAGTCACATGTGTGGGCTGATGTTTTAGCATCAGCTGACATCTGACAGACATGTAGTTTTCTCCATAATGTAATAGAAGGAAACAAAAATAACACTTAACCAGAATCAAAGACACAGTGACCTATTATGACCATATATAATGTATGGCCTTAACTTACATCCTGACTGAAACAAACCATGGATGCCCCACAAAGAAGGACATTGTATAAGACAATCAGGAACAGCTGTCTACAGGATGGGGTTTCTGTTAGACTTGGACGTTGATGCTGCTGTCCTGGCTGTGGTGCGCTACTTTTGTGGGACCAAAACTGCCACAACTTCTCGAGGTGGGTGCTGACATACAGAAAAATGGAATTGCTTGATGTCTGAGATTAGCTGAAGGTGATTCAGCCAGAAAACAAAAACTCAAGAGCATATGAGAAAAAAAAAGTAACAAAATTTAATGATTATTAAATTGAAGTGATGGAGACATGTTTTATTGTGTGGTTATCTGTTCTTTTTAATATCACGACCATGTTCATAATGATTTTTCATGTAAAAAGTAATTTCACAAAGCCACGTGTGAATACAGAAGCCAGGAGCTTTAACACATTGAACACTAGTCTCAAAACAGAACAACATGTCAGTTCTGGATCAAAGCAGCTTCCACTGAGGCTTTCCCACCAGAGCAAATGCAATCTTTTAGAATATATGACTTAAAAGGAATATACTGGGTTATTCCTCACTCTGAAAAACATTAAAGGAACATACTGCACACACGTGCACGCACACACACACACACACACACACACACACACACACACACATACAATTGACTGTTTTAAAATTGATTTCATTTCTGACATTGGGTACTCTCTACTACACAGTCAATGCAGAACAAAACTAAATTATATTTTCACTCTGGCATGTGTTATATTTCCTGCTTGTCTTTTATTGCTCAGATAAAATACCATGGCTAAAAGCAATGTAGGGAGGATGGGGTTTACTGGGCTGACATGTCAGCATCGTAGTTCATCACTGAGGGAAGCTGAGGTAGGAACTCAAGCAGAGGCCATAGAGGAATGCTGTTCCCTACCTTGCTTTTCCTGGGTGTCTGAGCCTACTTTCTTACATAACTGAGAAGCACCTTCTCAGGGTGGTGCACCCACAGTGGTCTGGGTCCTCCCACGGCAGTAAGTAATCAATAAAATGCCCTGCAGACTTGCCTATAGGCCAACCCAATGGAGGCATTTCCTCAATTGAGAGTCCCTCTTCCCTGATGACTCTAGCTTGTGTCAAATCAACAACAACAATAACAGCAGCAACAACAACAACAACAAAATCTAACTGGCCAGGAGCTAAATGGCTGGCCCACACTGAAAGCTGAGATAAGGGCTAGTTGTGGATTCTGAGTCTGGCATTCTCACAGAGGAGAATTAAGAAGCCAATTCTCGACAGTAGGAAATTTTCAGAATCTTCTGGCGTTAGAAAGAAACAAGATGAGAACAAGGGTGAGGTCTAGAGAACAAAGAGGAAACAGTGTATAGGGAAAGCAGGTACTCTAGCTATTACACATAAAAGATCAGGTTACTTTGTTCAGAAATAGGAGAATCTGAGGCATGAGAGAGATGAATTATTAATAGATGGCAAGATTCTTTTGTTGAAGACATCACACACTTTAGTTGCAGAACACAGAGAAATAAATCTTGACCTGACCAGGAAACTCCTCCTGCCGACAAGTTTTCCTAGTGCTGGGAGGGATGCTGTGTAAGCTACTGGGGGAGAAAAAAACCACATCAATGGATGTATCTAACACTGCACTGATGTGGGATGTCCTTCTGTATATGTGTTGCTTTTACTGGCTAATGAAGTTGCTTTGGCCTATGGCATGCAGAATATAGCTATGCTGAAAGAGATATATAGAGAGAGTAGGTGGAGTCAGGGAGATGCTATGTAGCTGCTGAAGGAGGATTCCGGAACTTTAGCGGTAAGCCACAGCCTTGTGGTGATACACAGATTAATAAAAATGGGTTAATTTAAGATGTAAGAGCTAGCTAGGGATATGCCTGAGTCATTGGATAAACAGTGTTGTAATTAATATAGTTTTTGTGTGTTTATTTGGGTCTGGGCAGCTGGGAAAAACATGTGCAGTCTCTTTCTACACTGCACCCTGCAGACTACAACACCAATCCTCCAGACAAGATGTGCCCACATGGTGCAACAGTGGCAAGACTCTCCTGATTGGACTGGAGGCCTGTTCCCACAATGGGGATTTCGTGCCTGGTATTACAGACATGGTTAGTACCCTAGGGGAGAGCCTACTGTTGTTTTTCTACATGGTCATGTTGCCAAATGCCTTCTAAATGTCTGTGTTTATATCCATAGGCTTGTGCTGCCCCCAACCTTGGTCAGACCCAGTTCTTGCTGAAGGGGTAGTGGTTAGTGTAGAGTTGTATTACTCCAAGTGCTGAGAATGCCACCGTTAAGAGCTTAGCTGGAGATGAACATGTATATCACCCACAAGTCCCACGGCTAAGGGATCATGGAAGAGAGGCCAGAAGGGTGGTAAGAGCCAGAGGATGTGAAGAGGCACCTTGAAACACCATCTGTTGACATGCCATGAGTGTGGCACACGTGAACTTACAGCAGCAATGACTACTTGCATAGGCCTGCACATGATCAAGGTCGTTAAAAATTCCAGCATGGTATAGAGAAGAGCTACCAGCTACCAAGGCCCAATCCCTAGCTGGGGAACTATTGCAGTTGATAATTGCAGTTGATAGCTGCTTGGACAGAGTGTCAGGTGGAACTGAAACACTTCATTTTTCTTGCACTTGCAATTTTAAATCAATTGATAACCTAACATAAATTATGATTGAGGCTGCGTTGGGCAACAAAGACAATAAAAGTGAACAACCCAGTTTTGCACAGTAAGTCTGGATACGTTCCATTGTTAAGATGGTACAAAAAAGAGGACACAGGAAAGCTTTTGCCTTCACCTTCATTAGAATGTAGGTAGCACATAAATCCAGGTAATGCATTTCTAATGTTAGAACGAAGACTGCCAACTCGTATATGCAGTGTACTTACTGATTGAGAACAGGGGTGTAGGCAGTTTTGTCCTCATCAATAATAGTGACCATCAGTGTGATCAGCTGTGGCCAGAAGTCCAGGTTCTTGGTGGTCGGTCCCTGGTCCTCCCGAGGGACATCCTGCTTCTTACTCTGTTCACAAGGCAAGCCAGGCAAAAGAGACGTTAAAGGGAGGGCTGCAGTTGTGTGTACTGTCCTGTCCACCAGAGATCAGAGGAGCAATTCTAAAAACATGTGTAGATCAGGGGGAGGTCAAGCCATTGAGCTCAGGTTTTCTTTCTTCACTGAGTAGGAAGAGTCAGCAGCCAGCCTCCTCATCCTAGTCTTACATTTGTTTAGGGCATAACTGCCAGCAGCCTCTCATTTGGCTCTGGAATGTAGGCCACTCCTCTCTCTCTGAATGCTGCAAGCCTACAACCTTAGGAATTGTTATGGAAACTATCCCTTTAATGTGGCCTTTTCCACAGACAGAGACCCAAGCTTATGTGTATAAAGGTGTGTGTGTGGGTGCGGGTATTTATCAAGCCTAAGTATGTTGTCCTAAGTCACGATGTAATAGGTTAAGAAACTCAAAGCTGTCTGGCTATAAAACACTACAGAAGGAAAGCTTCTCCAACTAGCACCTGCCACATGCTTCGTCTTTGACCCTGGTCCTGACCACAACTCTATCTGACAAAGCTTCATTTTCGTAAATCTACCTTTTTCTTCTTTTACTTAAACCATCTTTAATTTCTTCGCAGTTCTACATACTGTCTGAATTCTTTAAAGATCACCTCTAGAAGGCAGACTGTGACCTGGGATGGTCTGAACTCACTTTAAGGTTAGGGAGTACAATAGTGATGGTATTCCCCCGCCACGCCCCGCCCAGACAGGGTTTCTCTGTGTAGCTTTGGAGCCTGTCCTGGAATTCACTCTGTAGACCAGGCTGGCCTCGAACTCACAAAGTTCTGCCTGCCTTTGCCTCCTGAGTGTTGGGATAAAAGGCATACACTACTACTGCCTGACCAATGGTGAATGTTTTATATATAAATTTCATTTTCAATATACAAAATTCTTTCCAACATGCAGGTAAATTATTCTTATTATTTATTTTACTGAATACCCTTCTTAGAGTGCTCATTTTACATTCATTTGTTGGATTTAGGCAGAAAATATAAAGGGAGATATAAGTTCCACTCAAGAATACAAGTAAGTGAGACACACGGCATCTATGACTACTCTTTCTAAGGCATTTTGCTATGTCCAGAATTATCTGAAGCCTCAGTTTGTGGCTCAAGAAAACTCTGATGCTCTGATGTAAACTGTGTATCAGATGTGGCACAGTTTAGTCTGTTCTGCGTCTAGTCATCACGTCTTCTTTTGGGACCAGAATTTCAGTCATCCTGCAGTGAATGGCTCTTTGTGTTTATTTGCTAATATTTACCAAGACATATAACTTATCTATGTTCCAATGAGTCATCCCCTCATTACCATTTTCACTTAAGTGAAAATACAGCCGCAGAGTTCATTTAGCTTGGCAATGGGATGGAAGAGAAGAAATCAGGTGAATGGCTCTGGAATGTAAGACGAAGCTGATGTGTCTCCAGATAAAACATATAGAATTTGTGTGCTTATATGTGTGCATGTGAAAGAATGGTGACCGACATGGCCCTCATTCAAGACAGGTAAGCAACCATGAAAGGCTTTGGTAACAAGTAATAGCTATGCTGAGACTGTGAAAGACCTGGACAGCGAAAGGAGTAAAACAATATAAAAATAAGAAAGAAATAAGTTTCAATATGCAATAAAAAGATCAGAAGAGAAAACTGAAAACCATTCACGTGTAGCTGTTTTTATAATGTGCTTGCCACTTACCCTCATGCTGAGGTGGTTATTTAACTCCTCAAACTTCTGACAAAGAAATCTTAGTTCCAGCACTTTGCAGGTTAAAAATAGGAACTCTCTAATTGGCTTATGAAATAGGACAGAAGTTTCAGACACTCGGGAATCTAAGATCCCCGTGAAGACCGAGGTGGGCAGTTTATTGGCTAGGAAAAAGGAGAGCATTTATCCAGGTCTACATTTAGACTGGACTGAAGGTGAGGATCTCTTGAGTATCCTCCAATCTCCAAGGCAACCTCTGGCAGTCCTGGCATCTGTGGAAACAGCCTTCTGGCTTTCCTGTTGCAGACATGCTAACTCTCCCTTCCTGACCATTATCTCTTCTGTCCTCAAAAGCTGGACAAGAGAGATCTTCTCAACTCATCACATTACAATAAAACACCTTCCAGTCTTGAAGACTGAACACGCAATGCCTAGTCCACATGCAACAGAATTCCGGCCCGTGGACTGCGGCAATCTAGAGGGCTAAACCACGGCTTCTATGGCAACTGAGCCAGACTAGTCAGGGACTGACGCGCCTCAGAGAATTTTCCTGTGTTCCCAAATCAAGACCAGAGAAAGCCATATATGCTCTTCAAAGCAGCCACAGGAGCAATCCACTCCTACTAGTGGGTTCTCAGCCACACTTTTCCTCTACTAATGTCTTCTGTTATCAACACAGGGCTTTCCCGTGGTCACTCTGGGCGAGGTTTTCCAACTTCCCTGTTTGCCAGTGAGTCTTTGACTAAATGAAGTGATCATGGCTGATTTACTTACTATTTATAGAAAGAACTGAATTTCAACCCCGTGTTTTCATGGTTTACATGGTCTTAAACTATTTCCAAATATTAAGGGCTTATCATTTCAACATCCTAACAATATGGGAACTGAGGGCTAACATAATATCTACTTCCTGTTCTTATCTATAAAATAAACCAAAGAACATAGGTAACACATGAAAATGTTAGGCCTTTCTGGTTCCTTCTTAGCATTAACTTAAGGTCTTAGTTATATAGCTTGTAGATAAAACAACAACTACTGTATGCTAAAATTATCAGACTAATTATTCTGAGTTTCACATCATAAGGAAATCTTTCAGTAAACAAAGTCATTGGTGCCAAAGTTACTGGAGAAATCCCTGCATCTGTTCTGAGTTCTTGACCATCGTGGCTGTTGAGCACACATCTGCAGCTTGAGAGTGATAAGCATGGCCAAGGGCTAGTTTATCCCCATTTGGCTTTTTTCTCCTAAATTTTAGAATGTTCCCACTTAACTTCCACACTCTGTTTAACCAACTAATTTGTACTGTTCATATTGCCAGAGTCTTTTCATTTGCTTTTCCTGCTAATGCTGAATTAATTCTGCACAGCTTTGAGGGTCATGTGAATCTGGATCTGGACTCTATGGGGAGATCCAGGAGGTTCCAGGTTCCACTCTCAGCTTTTCATAGACTCCCCACTCTGTTGCCCCAAACAGAATGACATCAGAACGACACAACTATAATGGCATTGAGATCACTCATCTTGGCAAACTGAAAAGACTAAATACACTTGAGCAAAATGACACGAATCTCTTATTCCGGTTTGAGCAATGCAGCAAGATAAGGAAATACCCTGAGGGGGGCCTCTGTCTAGGAGCAGAAAAGCAAGGTCAGGAAGGAGTAGTTGAGGTGTTTTAACCTGGTCTGAGTCTCTTAGTCAAGCACAACAGAGAAGTACAGGGCCCGCTCTCGGTCAGCTCGGAGACAGACTAGAATCCAGACTCTTGCATTTCACGTGAAAACAAGGAAACTTCCCACAGACAATAATACAAAAGAGGAGATGATGCCAAAGTTAAAGTCAATGTAGAACTCAAGGAAAATTTTGTTCTCAGTGCCACTCAGCAGTTCTTGGCTGATCCCACAGGGCGGAACATTTCCCTTGTTCTCTACCACACTTTGGTTCTGGAAATAGCCGCACAGACAGCATCTACTGTGATTTCTGCATCTTCCTGGGGTCATTTACAAAGGGTCACCTGGGGTCACATAAGATCAGAAAAGCTAGAAAACTATACCTTATGAATTCAATGTTTTGAAGAGTGTTATCACTTTTCTTTCTAAAACTTGCTGAAGATGGTAGAAGGCAGTCATATTTTATTTGCCAGCACACAAAAGGCAGATGAAGGTATTTCTTACTAGGACAATTGGGCATTTTGAGAGTTGCTGATAAACAGTAACATCAGTCTTTTTCATTCGAGAATATTTTTGACTTTCTGCAATCAAACTCACGTAGGTAAGACCTTATATAGCTAATAGTGCATTACTCCTGTACAGATGGGGGAAAGATCAAGTTTGATATTTCTAGGCCAATGTGGTTGTTAATTTCTACAAGCTCAACATGGTAAATGTTTATTTTCAAAGTTCATAGCACAGCTAAAATTGACAAAAGGTTAATATATATATGTGTGTGTGTGTATGTATATGTATATGATGTGTGTGCATACGCTTACACATATATGTATATATGCTTACATATATATGTATATACACACACATTTATATATATATGTATATATATACATATACATAAAAACAGCAATAGCAGCAGTATGCTGTGGACCAATAGCAAAAGCTGTTCATTCAAGTTTATCTGTCATTTGAACAAAATTGTAGATATTGAACATTTTCCAAGTGAAAAGGTAAAAATGAAAATCCCAGAAAACAGAAGCTTTTTTACTGTCATGGTGCCCAGAATCACTTTTCTTAAAAAATCCTTTTCTTTCCCTTCACCTGGAGAGAAAGCATCCTGAGGATGTTATTGAAGTTGCTCTCAGTGCTGGCTACGAGAAGTCCCCTGTAGGATCCTAAAGCCCTGTAAGCAGCGTCTCCTCTGAAAGACAGCCCTGTTGCCTTTACTTCTCTCCTTTGGCCTGTGGCACGACCACCACCTTACTTAGACCACTTTCAACATCTTCACCTTTGATCTACTTCAAAGGTTCCTGCTGCTATTGATCTGTGATGCCACTGTCAAGGATGCTTTTCTCATTGCCTGGATTTTACTGGCACGTGGTAAATCACTTAAACTCTGCCCGTGAAGGGAGAGAGGTGGGCAGCTATGCTTAATGAAGCAGGAGATCTGGACTCCCTTTACCGGATTGAGCATATGCTTCAGTAGCCTTTAGCAGTCTGTTGAGAAAATATATTTCCCTTCACCACAGCCAAACCTGTGGCCCTTCTTGTATAGAGTCAACATTCTGACTCTCCCCACCTGTGTCAAAGATGCAATTTAACATCC